CACTAGAGATGCACTTGCTTAAATAGCAGCAGATAAAATCTGAAACTTGAAGTCCCCTAATGAGCTAAAGAGAGCTCTGGGAATTCTTTTGGAATGGATGTTATGCCAACATTCATTCTTTCACTTTCAGAGCACAAAGTTCTACAGAGTGGTTGGGAAAGCAAAGCAAATATAATCATATGGCCCAGGGCAACCCCATTTTTTCCTTTCTTTTTTGCCTCTGGGAACTTGAGTTCCCATCCATGTGTCTCAGATGGGAATAGTGATTTCTACCTTCTACTTTTCCAAACCTCAGGAGGCTGATTAAATGCTTTTCCTTCTTTATGGATCAATGGGTTTTTAACAGCACCAGAGGTGTTAATACTACTGGGGCCTATTAAACATTATTTAACATTATTAAACATTAACAACAGATTAACCCTCGTGTGGGGGAACCATTTCACTGTATTAGGTAAGGATGGAGAATCGGTTCATTCTGTACTGAAGTACACTTAAAGCCAGGGGATGGCTGAAAAGCCAGTAGATTTTTGGGGAAGGAAAAAAAAAAGGCTTTAAAAATCAGTAGAAGGTTTAACATAACACCCAGAAAACTTCACAACTTTACCACAATGAAGGACATATGGTTTTCTAAAACAGCTTAGCATAGCTTTCACATTTATATGGAATCTTCTCTTTGATAATCTCGGGAAGACATGCATGCAATAATCCCATTTCATTCTCCAAGCATTTCATTTTCAGAGCATTCCAAAACCTACCTTGTCTGGTAGGTTAGGGTGAGATGGATTAAGAAGCCCACCCTTACATATCTGGGCTGCCAAACTTGAGGTAACCACTAGATGGCAGCAAAAAGAACACTTATGCCACCTATTGGACCTCTTGGAGATCTGGAACATGGTAGCTCTAAACTCCCCTTCATGGATCATTGCCTTGTTGTGGCAAAGGGGCTTGCGTAACTCAATGAATCCTTGAGTTATGCCGTGCAGGGCCACCCAAGACGTGCAGGTCATGATAGAGAATTCTGACAAAATATGGTCCACTGGAGAAGGAAATGGCAACCCACTCCAGTATTCTTGCCAAGAAAACCCCATGGGCAATGTCAAAAGGCTAAATAAAAGATATGACGCCAGAAGATGAGCCCCTCAGGTCGGAAGGTGTCCAATATGCTACT